CCAAGGAGGGAAGCCGCACGTTGCAAACGACCCTCACCGCTGTGGCCTTTCCTGGGGACGGCGTAGACGAGGTTCCATCGTTATCGGCAGCACGTCGGGCAAAGGCGCTGGGGGTTCGCGAGCACGCCTTCAACTCCGCGGTGGAGCGTGCCAAGAATTGGCCGATCTTCATCCAACCGAGGCGATAAAACGCGGTGTTTACTGGTTTTGTCCCCGAGCTAATCAAAGTATTGCCGCCAGCGAAGAGCTGCTGGAGTTGATGAGGCAGTACTGGCACACGGACGAGGTGTCACGCCAGCATGGCAACTCAGCTGAGCGCGACATGTGGAAGGCGAGTAAGTCTCCTACAGCTCACCGCCACCCTCGGCGGCAGCTCACCGAGCCGGGCGGGGGCGACGCGGTGTACGCCAAGTTTCTCAACTGGGCGTCTTACAAGAGCTTTAAGGAGCGACAGAGCGACGACTTCACTGACCCTGGCCGCACGCTCTTCCTCTCGACGCGGTACAAGTGCCTGGTCCTCCCTGCCATGGAGCAATGCGCGTGCAAGATCCACTCGTTGCAAGTGCTTTACATCGAGGCCCTGGCCAATGTCGACATGACCAGCCACGGGGAATGCCGGTGTCGATGGTGCAACGCAGAGGGCGGCAGCAGTGGCGGGAAACGTGGAAGTACTTGGGCACATTCTCCGATGCGATTGCCTGCCCCAAGGTCAACTTGCGGGCAGCGGACCCGGAGGGTGACGGTTGGATGGGGCGGAAACCAGAGTGCAACGCCTTGGACTGCACGAAATGTGGGTTCGGGGACGCTAAAGGCATTCCCATCTGCAGCAAGCTAGATAACTCCGAGCAGATGGTGTGTGGAAGATGTTCGAGGACGTCATCACTGTGCCTGCATCAGCAGATGGGAAGATCAAGGCCAAGAAACTCGCCAACCAGACCGTGCCGAAGGAGCGTAAGCTTTGCGATCTTTGGTCAGCGTTCAAAGAGCACACCAATCTGTACATGGCTCACAACTCTATCGCCAAGTGGCAAAGGCACTGCCACGGCGTTGCTTGGAAACGTTTCAGGACGGTGACCTTGCCATCGAGACTGACTTTGCCGAGAAGTACACCCACAATCCTGCATCGGCATGATGATGCCGGTTTACCCGCAGACAACGCTTATGGTGGCCATCGTCCACTTCAACCCGCAGACGCACGTGGGGGGTGGCAGGGTGCACGTGACGGAGACATGGATCTTTGCATCTGAACACATGGCGCATGACTGCGATTTCCACCTGCACGGCTTGGCCAGGATGGCGGACTACTACCTGCGTGGAGATGGGAGCGAAGCAACAGCTGCCGCCCGGAAAGAAGGCCGGACGCCCCGGATTCACATGTTCACGGCTGGATGCGGGAAGCAGTACAAGGGAAGGCGGAATTTCCGCTTCTTGGCCGACAGCGTGCGGCAAATTGGCTTCTTCATGGACCACCACTTCGCGGCCACATCTCACTTCAAAGGTTGCCATGATGGGATCGGCGGAGTCGCAAAGAACGCCATGAAGAGGAGGGAGAGATTTGGCAAGCGAATCATGGGGGCGGACGGGGTGGTCAGCTTTTTGCGAAGCTTCTTTCGGGAGGAGGCAGGCAGCGAGGGGGAGGAGAATATGCGGAGGTACTTTGCGAAGTGGTCTCCGTACCGCATGCGGAGGGTGCACGTCGAGTTTATCGGCAAGAAGGTGACATATCGGCCAAACTCGGTCCTGGCAGGCATGTAGAGGGTATAAGAGACATGTACCACTTCGCGGGAGCAAACACTCCCAAGTGGGATGGGTTCACCACGACCGAGGGACTCGAAAATGATTGCAAGCTGGTACGAAAGCGCGAGGGGCGGGGTAGCTTATCGAGTCAAGAGAAGAGCAAGTTGGTGGAAGTCAAGGTGTTGGGTGCAGTAGCGAGCAGATGGAAGGGCAAGGGGGCTGGGCCACAGGATCCGGCGTCGGAGGAGGAAGACGTGACTTGCAGAAAGGTGAAACGGACGTACAGGCTCAGGACTCGGTCGGCGTCGTGCTTTTGCTCGGCGTGCCAGCGTTGCGAGTATGAGCAGTGCTACGTCAGCAAGACGTACCCACGTCTCGTTCCCGCATTGCAGGAGGGCGAAGTGAAAGAAACGGTGATCATGGACACTGGAGTAACGCCCGTAGACGAAGATAACTCCCGGGGGATCAAGTTCGGGAGTAGGAAGAAGGAATGCAACATGAAGAGTGTTACTGGGACACAATGGCAGGAATGCGAATCTGCTGCTGCGTCAAAGATTTGGGAAGAGCTTGGTAGGAAGGAAGAGTCCAATATTTTTGCAGGTTTCGGGAGGTGGGCTGGATTTTAAGGGATATGCTTCTTGTACTTGCTAATTGTGAACAAACTTGATTGATTGATTGAAATAATTTGATTTTTTTCAAAGCGAGGTGATGCTGCTAAATATGTGCCTGTAGCTCAAGACCAAAATGGAATTAAAACAAACGATCACGGATTCGTAATCTCCACCCAAAAATTACCCTGACCTGAAATTTTCAGATCGATCTGACCACTTCTGAAAAGCGGGGATTTTTCGGGACCATCCCCTGGGTTGTGCGTTTTTCGAATTCCCTGGGTAAAAAAAGGAAAAACCTGGACAAAAATAGTGCAAATAAATAAAACGAATCCACGTTTTACATCCACGGAGTAGTATGTCATAATTTTTTCAGACCTTAGCCGGGAATAGTTCATCACCATCCCCCCCCCAAAAAAATTCATGACGGTCAGTTGCGGATGGCGCCTATAGTTTAGTTCGACATGGAGACCACCTGATCATGATGTAAATCATCAACCAACTAACCACCCAACCAACCAACCAACCACCCAATCATCCAACCAAGTACATAGTTGGTACACACACGGGTCNGGCGCCTATAGTTTAGTTCGACATGGAGACCACCTGATCATGATGTAAATCATCAACCAACTAACCACCCAACCAACCAACCAACCACCCAATCATCCAACCAAGTACATAGTTGGTACACACACGGGTCGCCCCGGTGGCCTATTCTATCTAGTGGGTACCCTCGCAGCCTGCTAAGGGCCAGGTCATGGGTCCGAGTCCCGGTTGAGTGAGTTTCTTCTACTCTCACTTTATAAATCCTGGTCTAGGATGAAAGCGACGCGCTGCACAGCTCGTTTTTAGTAAACCATAATCGACTTCGTAAGTCGCAAGGGAAGGGATTGCTGTACCCTTCCCGCGAAATATATACCTCGGACAGGAACCGCAGGAGGGGGTCCAACACCCCCCTCCTGTGTGACCCCGGTTGGGTCGTCTAGCTAGCAGAAGAGGTGGAGGATAGGGGCCAGAGGGGCAGACGACAGAGAGAGTCCAATGATG